CTCGGCTTTCTGAGGGTTTGAGAACATGCAGTGGTAGCTGTCTGACCATGAGGCCTAGTAAATTATGAAGGTTCCCTCCTAAGTTCTAAATAGAAGCCCAGGAAAAACTACATCAACTTCGTGCTACATGGGACATTGATAACTTTGTACACCAAGAGACATAAGACAATCCCTTCTTGAGAAGGCCAAGCCAGCACTTTTCTACTCCTAACCCTTAAGAACCAAATTCCAATCATGAGAGGAAGGCCAGTGTCTACCTTGGTTTCAACTGGAAAGACCCAGCTACTGAGCTAAATTCAACCAATTTTCACTGTGCACTTACTCTGGGAGAGTATAGAGCATGAGAGCTGTCTATAATGCTGATCATAGGATTAATTTGAGAAATAAAATGTTAACATTTGAATGGAGACTATTTGGGTACCCAACTCTGCCTCCACCAGGAAAGGCCACAGGCTGTGTAACTTTAATCTTGAACTTGGCTTCCTCATGTAAAAGTGGGATAAATATCACCAGCCTCACTGATTTCAATTTTGTTTTGAGAATTTATTTATTAAAAACAATTAGAGACAGAGTCTTGTTCTTGTTGCCCAGGTTGGAATGCAGTGGCATGAACATAGTTCACTGCAGCCTCCAACTCCTGCCTCAGCCTCCCCAGTAGTTCTAACTATAGGCTGGTGCCACTACACCTGGTTAATTTTTGGGGTGGGGTAGGGTAGAGATGGTCTTGCTATGTTGCCCAGGTTAATCTCAAACTCTTGGGCTCAAACAATCCACCTACATCAGCCTCCCCAAGTGCTGGGATTACAGACATGAGCCACAGCACCTGGCCCATTCTAAAATTTACAGATGAATATAAAACATTTAGCACAGGGTATCACCAACAAAGAGCTCAACAAACATTAGCTATCTGCAAATAAGAGTATAAATAGTAACCTGGTTACCCTGGTTTAAGATCTTAAATAAACAGCTATCCTTAAGCATTCAGGGCCTGAACTTTCGATCAAAATTTTGGAAAAAAGAAGGAATGTCATTTATTCCTTTTTTCAAACAAGTACTTCTTTGCAGAAGACTATATAAGACATATATAAGACTATATAAAAAAGACATGGTTCTAATTATTAAATATTCACATCTACTATTTCTGGAAATTGCCTATAATAACAAAGTATGGTATTAAACACGGATAACAGACCTTGCTAAAAATAAATGTATTAAAATTAGGACGGAGTTAGATTTCAAAAGTATGCAAAATTTCCTTTTGGATGTTATAAAACCCAGGCTCTGTTAAGAAAGCAGCAAATAAGTCAGTGTAGTGGGGTATGCCTCTAGTCCCCGCTATTGGGAAGGCTGAAGCAGGAGTGCTTGAGCTTTGGAGTTCAATGCTGAAGTGAGTTGTGATCCCACCAGAGCACTCCAGCCTGGGCAAAAGAGCAAGACTCCATCTCCTTGAGGGGGTGGGGGAAGCAGCAAATGGCAGAAGGTATTTCTTACTACATTTGCTACAGAATAGATTTTAAGGGTTATATTGTGGCAGGATGATAAGACAGGGCTTTGGAAGTATGTGAGGACCTTAGATTGTTTAAACCCCAACTGGAATAAGAGAAAACAAAATTAAGTCTGCAATGAGATTCTTAGGGTAGTGCCTATTTTACTTAGGTCACACAGGAAAAATGAAAGTGCTCAATGATGAGACTGTAACAGTGTCTGAAATAAAGTTAACTTCTTAACAACTGAAAGCACTCTCTGAAAATTTAGCCAGGATTATTTGTGGTCATGTCTTAGAAAAGTTACCTGTTAAGGTCTTTCAGAGCAAAAAACAATTTAAACATCTATTAAATTTGATTAGCTTTAACAAACACTTGTCCATGCTATTTCTTCAATTTTTAAAGCATCTCATATGTCTCTACAGATCTCCTGAAGTACAAAAGTCATCTGCCACTATGGGTTTTGTGACAGTAAACTCAAGTCAAAGTAAATCTTTATAACTTAAAAATTCTTATTAAATTTCAATTCAGACTATAATAAAATCAGTGGTTGGCAGAAAATCCTTTAGCATTTAGGATGTCATGTAAATTTTCAAACTACTCTTCCCACATAGCCAAATACATTTTAAAATATCTAAAATTTAAAATATTTTTTGTGTAAGTACAGGCATAATTGTTCACTTGCTTACCTATTTATTATTTAAGGACAGTCACACTCCATTATAGACCATGGGCTATAGTGCCATGGCCTCAGCCTAACTCACAACAACCTCAAACTCCTAGGCTCAAGTAATCCTCCTGCCTCAGCCTCCCAAGTAGATGGGACTAAAGGTGCATGCCACCAAGCCCAGCTAATTTTTTCTATTTTTAGTAGGGATGAGGTCTTTTTTTTTTTTTT